AAAAAAAAAAAAAAAAATCATCATCGGCCAATCAAGTGAAACTGAACCTTCAACATGGTTGGGATCTTGATCGGTCGTCAATGTTCGCTCCTCCATCCGTTCCACAATGCGAATGGTCTTGCGGAATTCCCGATCTTCAAATCCCTCTTGACATTGGATTTCCTCCCTGCTTCCTGACCTCACCTTCTTCACAGCTTTGATCACTTCATTGACAACCCTGGATCGAGTGGGATTCCCAACATTGGGACCAACAGCCCATGATGCGTGGCGGTTCGGATGGAAGTGGCTGATGGCCTTCTTGTATTGTTCAAGAGTGGTAGATCTCTTCTGGGTGGGGCGGTCATTGGGCCCTGGGTTGATCTTTCCATAGGCAAGGAAGTTGAGGAACTGGGCGACATCAGTAGGGGTAATTTCTAGGAACTCCTCCTGAAGAAAAATGAAGAAGAGCGACCATGGTGTGAGGGACAATGTTTGATCAGCGAAATGACGAACATGCCAGAATGCGACCATCAGCGAAATGACAGATTTGGCGAAGGAGCGAACCAACATACCTGTGTAAACTTCCTCTTGCTATCATAGTGACGGCCATGCTTCCAGCCCATAAACCTGGCAGCGGCAGGCCGGTACTGCTGATCGAGTGACTTGCGCTTCCTCGCCATGGTCGACAATTCAGCGAGTTGAGTAACAAAGTAGCGAGTAACAAAATAGCGATGGCTTCGCCTTTTCCAAGTTTTCCATCCAAATTTATGGAGGAAAACTACTCTTGATCGGAGGTACTCCATCCAACATCCAACGGTCAAGTCGTCCTGTAGCATCCGTACTACGGGATACGTCAGTTGAATCAGAGGGGATCTTTGGGCGTTTACCCTCTCTCAATACAAAGAGAGAGGTTCCGGGACCATAAGTCTTTGAGTTTCGCGGAACGTTTGGTGGTCTTTCGTACGATTGAAGTTGTATTTGACAGTTTTTACTTAGGCAAAATGTTGTATTTTGGGGTTGCCGATGCAACTACCAATGCGATTCTGAGTAGTATTGGATACCCTCAAATGCCTGGTTTCCCCCGGCAAAATACTCTCAATGACCAATGCGTATCCCCATACCCCAATAAATGATATTCTTACTTAGCACTGATTGGGGGGAACCGGTCGCTGCCGGCGCTAGTAAGAGCTACTAAGAGTACTCCCCAAGTCCCACCAGTCGATACAACTCCCCCTTTCCACATACTCTCTACTATGCTAGTACGGTTGTATATTCCCTATACAGTACCGGTAGGTACCGGTACTGGTACGGTGCCACGGTACCGGTGCCATTGCACGCGGTCAAAAGACCCAACTTTGCCTTTGTCTTCGCACAGACGGTCGCCTCTCGTGAGAGCCGCATTGAGGGTGGCGCTGATGCTACCGTACTGCGTAACTCCAAGCCCACCATCGCAATCTCAAGTCAAATAATCCAGTCACTTGTGGTGGGGGAACAAAGGCGACAGCGCTGCGGTTAACCCCGTTCGTGCCAAAATATGGGCCCGGGCAGGACGGCGTTCTCCTTGTGGCTCCCGAGATTACGTTTCATCAATTGAACAACAAACATGGCGCTTACGGGCGTCTTTGTCCTCCCCTTGTTCACGTCCTCGGCGGAGTTGGACAGCACGATGACCACCAAAGTCAGCGAAGGGCTGCTCTCTCGGCACTCAAGCTTCTTTTCCATTCTCGATCTTGGAAATTTGTCCATTTGCTCCAAGTTCGTCTCAAGTCCGAAACCCCTGGTGTCGTCGGTGGAGCGACAGCCAGGCAACCCGCTTTTACTTTGACTCGTCGAGTCTGTGGCAGTGCAAAATGCATGGTGGGATCCTCGCTCGTGTTGGTCAAGAACAGAGTCAATGCGCCGTTTTAGTTGAACAACGAATCTTCGACTATCGCAATCGAGAGGATGCGGTCGTCCATACGGGGATGTCTTTGGCGTCTGCGTATTTCCAGATTGGCAACAATGGCACACCAGCCACCTCACACAAGGCTCTTGTCAATAGCAAAGCAGGTGATTGGAATGAAGAGAAAATGCCATGAGGGTGGTCCTTTCGGCTCTTGGCTTGGACAAGACCTGCTCATGGTTTGAGAAGTTCTTCACGGGACAAAAGCTCTGACCTGCGGGGCCAACAAATTGGGAAAGGAGCAAGTTGGAGTCGAGGCGCTGGGACTACGCTTAGCATGGTTTTGGGCTTGACCAAGTTCTAGCCCCCCTAGTGTCCTTTTGGACCCCAAGGAACACTTGACAAACGATATTGAAGCAGCAAGAGCGATCCTCCTAAACTTGCTTCATTGCGATATTATGAGAGTCTTGACTAGGTGAAGCCAGGATGATCAAGTCGGATTGCAAACATCCTATCCTTTCCGCACTGAAGTTCGTAGCATCTTTTCGGCAGAGCCGAGAGCAACGGGAAACGGGAGCTTTGCTGTGGCTAGTAACTATTGCGCCGGTAGCTGCTACCAATAGCTAGCTAGTAGAAAGTCCTTCCTCGCCTTTCGGGAGACGACGAAGACCCTCTACCCAGTGTTGCCGAGGTCAGAGGACGGAGTTACATCATGATCGAGCAGCTTCACACATATCATTCCATCGGTAATATCCTCTCACACAAGTTATCATGCCACCCCAAAACAGCCCAACAGGCCCTTTGCCACGAGAGATTAGGGTAAAAACTATTTTTCAAGTCTTACGATGTTAGCAAAGACTGACTGAATTATTTGCTGGGACAGGTCACCAATGCCAAACCCTAAATCACCATCTTGCACATCCCAACATTCTCTTCAAGTAGAGCTTCAAAGGATTACGGGTCGCCAGAGATTTTGTACAGTACAGTTGACGTTATTACTGATGATCAAGACCGAATTCACAAGATAGATCTAGATGAGCGATTTAATTAAAAGGACAAAGGCGAAGACCCATGACCGCATACGTGCGAGAACGAATGGAACTTCCGAAGATCCTGGGGATGATGTCACCAATGACCATACTATCTAGCTGATGTCCTGTACTGTACTGGTGTACTGGAACATCTAGCTAGTACACAAAGTTGGCAAGATGGATAAGGTAATACTTCACGTAAATCTTGCAGTCGGCTCTGGCTTCGGAAGTTGAGGCCCTCTTTCCCTCACAATTTCAAAAGCAAACGCTACAACAGCTCACAATTTCTCTCACCTCTCAAAACAAATCTACCCTTCGAAAATGTTTGTCTCTAGCAACCAGCTGATCCGTCCTCGTGTGATTGCATCACGGGTGGCAGAGGTGAACAGCAAGCAGCAGAAAGCCACGAAAAAGGTCACGCCTCTCCTGATTGGAGCCTTTCACCTGAGCACCAGTGGAATCTTTCATCCTGACACCAAACTGCTGTCTGTCATTGGAAGCTTTCCAGCTGTGCTATTGTGCTCCTCGATCATCCTGTTCAAATCAGAAGATTTCAGTGGAGTTCCGGTGGGATACCTCACCCGACTCCTCTTGTTCTTCTTTCAGTTTGAGATATTGAACAACCTGAAAACTGTTTGGGCAGGAGCAACGCTTGATGCCAGGTCAAAAGACAACGCCATCATGGAACTTTTCCCAAGAAAGCGCACTATCACGGCAATGTGGGCCGCTTGTCTTCTCTCCGTTTCAACAATGGTGCTAGCAAGCATCGCCTCTGGCGGGAGCCTCTTTAACGGTGCCCTCATTGGGTTGATCACAGTGCACCACTACATGGAGTTTGACAACAAGGAACTCAACCAAACTCTAATGATGTCGGGAAAGTCTCATTGGGTGATCAAGAATCTCGTGGCTGCCTTCGTTGGCTACTGGTTGTTGCCTTGCTGGATGGCCAGTGTTGATCCACTATTTTCTTCTCTTGGACAATCCATGCTGCAACGAAGTGCCTTTGCTGTGTTTTATTGGCAAAATCAAGATATCAAGGACATCCAGGTTGATCGCGAAGAGGGCTGCACCACACTGTCCACCATGCTGGAAGACAAGTTGGGATACAAGAACGGCCTCCTAGTCAACGCACTCCTGACTGTGACATCGGGGCTAGGATTGATGGTGTACTTGACGCCCGGAGCTGTGACCATGTCCTCAGCATCGGTCTGGGTTCTTTGTGCGATCTCGTTTGTGGCATCCGGTGCATGCCAAGTGCACATGGCCCAAACAACGAGTATCATCAGCGAAAAGAAGGCACAAAGAGCTGCAAAACTTGCATATGGATTCATGGTCTTGTGTGAAGTGTTCACGCTGTTTCTTCTGTGAAGAAAGACGGGATTATACTTGATTCATACGGCTCGCCATGTACAAATAGAACCAACCACTGTAACATAAATAATCTTGGTTGGAATGAATCGAATCACAATCACCTTCCTGTGGGCTGTCATAGTGCATATCTTCCTGGACCTTTGTGGCCTTTGTGGAAGGTCGGCCGTGGTCTCCTTGAAGAAGATTTTAGAGATGACCCCTTAGTCAGGATTTAAAAGAACGATTGAAGCTTTAGGAGACAATTAGATCTATGTGGGACTCTCCGTTTCCACAACGGTCCTCCTGGGGGTGATTGCTTACTGGCTATCTAGCAGTACTAGTAGGTGAATTCGTGAAGGAAGCTAACGCAATACCGAAAAAGATAATGAATCCAGCTTCGCCCACTACACTATTTCCGCTCTCGCTGCTATGTAGATGAAATCAACCTGTGGGTGTAATCTGAGAGCCCGTTCGCCCCAACTTCATCCACAGTTGATCCACGAATTCACGATCCCGGTCGTTGAGTGGAGGCTTGGTCGCTGCTCGCTTCAATTCACGAAGCGTGTTTCGCATGTCTGCTGGCGTCAAAGGACAGCGCTGAAAGTGCTGATAAATATCGTTAACTTTCATGGGCATGCTGCGCTTGTTGAGCCTGATCGCGAGACAAACTTGGGTGAGACTTGGACATTCCAAACAACGACTGGAATTCAAATCTAGGAGTGAAACTTACGGAAACACGCGGCAAAACCCAAGGCGTCCTGCCTTGATACAGTACTTGCAGCCAAACCCCGTCAATCCGACTGGCGCTTCCTTACGTTTCCCAACTCGTTCCGGTTCCAACAAGTAGCATTCTTCGACTTGGTTCATGAGGAGGTATAGATAGGGCGAAAGTGTGCGCTGATCACTGGAACGAACCAACATTATGCTCTCGCGACCTTCGGCCTGCATTGCGCCTATGTGTTCTGGTGTCGTTCCAAAGGTGTTCATGGCATTTGCCGCGGCCAAGGACTCTTCTGTGATTGTGATGCCATAGTCTGTGTTGATCATGCCAATCTTTTCGGCGGCATATGCCCAGTACTCGCGCGACAGAGAGCTACTGGGGATCTTGTTCTCTTGATAGGCCACGAACCTTTTCTTGAGCATTGGCGGCATTGCGTTACAACCTTGCCAATGGTCGCGAACCATCATCGTGAAGGACTGGTACATTTGCCGAATACTAGAGGGAAAAGCACTGGACCGGATGGCCCGCGAATTGGGATGCAAATGTGCACAGTATCGGCAACGTATTCCAAGTTGTTGGTAGGAGACGCTCTTGGATGAGCTTCGCACCAACACATCTTGATGACTTGCCCTCACGACCTCAAGGAGCTCAGCCCGAATGAAACACTGTCGCTCCGACAACCAATTGGAATCTTCTTCAATGGCCAGCGGCACAATGAAGCGTTTCGCCCAATGAACTGTGTCGCCCTCTTCCATTGGAGGCAACGGTCGGTCTTTTGGCAACTTCGGGATGGCATAAAATGAGTCCTCTTCGAGGCCGTCCCCTTTCTTCTTCTTCAAGTCCTTTTTCTTGTGCGGAACCACAATCTTGCTGCTGTTGCCGTTGTTGATGCTGCTGCTGATATTGCTGTTGTTGTTGCTGTTGTCATTATCATTGCTGTTGTCATTGCCACTGTTGTTCATGTCGTTGCTGATATTGCTGTTGCTATTGTCATTATCATTGTTGTTACTGTCACCTGGAAGCGATGCACCGCCAACACTGGCCTGCACGCGAAAGTTTGTTAGCAACTTGGGTTATTGCGCAACACCAGTCGCTGCCACGAGACTAGCTTGCTGCATACGTACATTTTCTGAATCGCTCGCACAAGGGAGCTGCGACGCAATCAGCGCCGTGAGAGGGTCTTGAGGAAGAGCTGCAGCCGGTGGCAAGCGAACTCCCAGTTGCTGAAGTGTACGAAGTAGCTGGATGTTGTCCAAACTGAGCGAAAAATTCTGCTGTTGTTGGGGCTGCTGCTGCTGCTGATCCTGGGACACGTCTTGTGACTGCTGTTGTGCTGGTGGTGGTGGCTGCGGAAGAGATATCTGCTGCATTGGGTTGTTTGCGTCCTGGCTTCCCAACAAGTTCGAAAGAGCTGACTCCATCGGGGTATTGTTGCTGGAAAGGTTGTTGCTAGCGACATCACTGTTGCTGCTCTGGTGGTGGTGGTTGCTCTGGTCCGATGCGACCGCAACATTGCTAGCCATTTCCAGTGATTGAGCCGTTCCTCGTTTGATGGCGGCTTCCAATGCGTCTGCAGCGGGGTCGTCAAAGTCGTTTGCTTGAGTCGCGTGTGTCAAGTCAACATCGATCGGGACAGATGCGCGTCCTTGTTGGCCACCAAAGGTGGCATCAGTGAAGGGCTGGCGGTTTTTGTGGGTGTTGTTGTTTGATGCGCCTGCAACATTCAGGGGGGGACCTCCTGCTCCTTGGAGAGCCTGAAATACACGATTTTCGGTGAATGGAAACATGGTTGTGGCGATTGTTGCCAAGTTAATTGCGGGGATCGCACTTACCGGTACAGGCAAATGCGAACCACCAGAGTTGTCGATGGAGGGTGGTTGTGGCTGTTGCATCATTTGAGGAGTCGGCTGCAGCTGTTGCTGCTGCAAATGTAGTTGCTGTTGCTCTAGCTGATACTGGGAGTCCCCATTGTCGTAAAAGCGCTGATTCTGCAGCCGTCGCAATTCATCCTGAAGTCGGCACTGCTGCTCTTGTGCCAGTTGTTGCTGTTGCTGCAACAGAGCAAGCTGCTCTTCCATCGACGTGGGTAACGCATTTTGGATATGTGAGCCGGGGGGATCTGCCATGGTTTCGCTTTATCGGTCCAGTAGCAAGCAAAGAAAAACTGGTGTTAGGTGTATTAGCTAGTAGCTAGCTGCTACTTACTACTAGCTAGCTAGCTAAGAGAGGGAGGGGGCGAGAAATGCGCGCAACAACAAGGAACTTCAAGACAATGGGAACAACGTAACAACGTAACCGGCGAGAAATTAGGCAGAACCCAACTACATGTACTGGCACACTGGCACTCACTGATATTTTTGCCAGTGAGTGGGCAGTCCCTGTGTCCCTGTACGGAAGTAGTCTTCATGTGCAGTACCGGTAGTGCTCGAGATAGTAGTCGTGGTCTTCTTTATGACTTCTGCGGAGACTGCATTGAACATAGGCAGCCAATCAAAATGGTCGAAAGGGTTCTGGTGAATGTATCCTTTATGTCTTTCAATGACAGTGAGTGTGTTCGTAGCACCTGAAGACTTAGTTTGAAAACTCAAACCTTCCTGCTGAAGACGGATACATGTAGTGTGGTACTAGCTAGTACCCATTTTAGTCCATACGGTACTCTACCGTATGCATGCTTCTGTATATGCTTCCAGAGGAACCTGGTACGTACATCGTACGTGTGCTCCGTATCGGTGTGTCGATATATTCGATCGAGTCAATTTCATTCGATTTCTGGCAGGTCATAAAAATTCGCGGTCGGCCTCTTGGCAAGTTGGCACAGCTACTGGTATGACATACGGTAGGTTCATCGATTTAACCTGAGGCCTACCGGTAGCTCTACCGGTACTGTACGCTGCGCTGCCAGTCAGCTTTCTCTTGCTTGCAATGAATTGAAATGCAACAAAATCTCCCTTCAGCTCGAAGCTGCAGGGGAAAGCATGTGTACCGGTACTGGTAGACGCACCACTCTCCTGCCTCTCTTGCGGAGAAGATCTCTAGCTAGATGTTTCATTTGGTCTGTGGAAGTGCTTCTTGCTGCTCTTAGCTCGTTGACTGTCATATGCAGCTAATATCTAATATACCGGTGCCCTGAGTCGATGTCACCATGTCACCATGTCAGCAACTCAGATGGGGAGCTCTGCACGGTAGCAAGTCCCAAACCAGTCAGTGTATGGGAAATGCCATACAGTAATGCACTTCTATCGATGCTCCTGTTCACTCACCACGGAAGAGAAGTACCGGTATGTGGAATGCCGAATGCGGAACAAAGAAAGAGGGATAGATCCAACATCCAACTTACACAGCGCGACCACGAGGTTCCGGGAAACAGCACTCCGGAGTAATACTGAGCAGGCCTTGTTGCGCACGCGACAGGCCTACACGACCTCGGACAATTATCTCACGAAGGTACATAATGCTTTTTCCAACATGTTAATGCTTCAAGATTGCTTGATTCTCTGTCAAGCTTAGTTGTCATACTCCTTATTCCTTCACCTTTTGTGAGGGGGGGAATTCTGAGGGGAATGGAGGAATTCCCCAATTCCTCGAAGGAGCAGGAACAAGACTGTCCAGTCATGAACATGACTGGGAGTCATGAATAAGTACTGTTCTACACAAGTTTACGTGGAGTCACTAGTGGTACTGGCAGTTAATTCCTTTCCCCCATTCCCTTTCCCTCTAATGCTTCCTTCTAACCCTGAAGGAATGGTGGAGGAATTCCCGGAGTCGGGGAATTCCTCGAAGGAGTATACAACTAAGCTGTCAAGTGTCAACTCCGGCATGTTTCCGGTTTTAGGCCTCCCAACCCCCAAAAGAGATCTTTTTCGGGGGCAGGGGCCACCTAATTATTGAGTGGGTTTTCTACAGTGAAGAGCTGGGGCTGTGCATTTGACCCACTTCTGCTTGACTTGTCTTGCCGGTACAGCTGCTGAAACCGGTTTAAGCTGGGTTTCCACATCTCAGAAGGCCTTTAACTAAATGTTTCCCAAAGTATATAACACAACTTAAACACTGGAGTATCTATTAAATAAAGTCTTCGGGTGAGCACACTGACCAACGTACCATCGTACCAGCAGCTTATACGAATTATTAGCTGTACAGCTCAGTACTGAGTACTCAGTAGTCATTTTGTCTACTTACCGGTATGCACTACCAGTACCAATACTCTAGCGCGGACTTCCTTGAAGCTAACTCGAAGAGTACGCCGGCTGGTTCTATGTTTGTAAGTGTTTCCTTACGTGCAATGGACAGTGTTTAAGTAGAAAGATGAAAGAGAACCCAGTTCAATGGTTGCTGCCAGTTCAGTTGCCACCATCATCAGCATCAAGCTAATAAAAGGAGTTGCGGGAATACCTGTTCTACTGTTCCACTTCTTGGTCATGTTTCAATTTCGTTTTAGTTTGGTAAAATTACTAAAAATGGAAGAATGACACAATCTAGAAGGCTTTACGTAATGTTTAGTTCAAATTAGTACAGTCGTACATATAATCTGGAAGATACCGGTAGGAGGAACTCATAAGTGGAAGATTAACCCACACTTACAGTTTGACCCAAAGGAGGGACATCAAAGTCCCATTCCCCGCAACTCCCTTCTGTAACCCACTTGCCAAAACACCGCCCAACCGAACCAGGGTGTGGGACTCACATGAAATACACGCTGCGTGTACTCGATGTGAGTACGGGTACTGAGTACTGAGTATACTCAGTACCCATACTCACATGACCTCAGAAAATGTGAGTATTACTCAGTACCCGTACTCACATGAACTCCGCTGAGCTTCTTGAATGACTTTTTGACGGTCTTCGGTGCAAGTACTTCGGTGGTACTTCGAATGCGTTACCAGTGATACTCGTAGATATCAGGTCGCGTTATTGTTGTATCTGCCTAATCGTCAATACCGTTTGTTTGCTTCTTATTGTTACTCAACTGTGGTTTGGGTGCCAGGGACTCGCCGAACCAAAGCTACCAATGACAATGAAAAGTGGAATGGCACTGCAAGTTGATACCCCACCAAGGTTTGATGGCTTGCTTCCAGTTTTATGGACCCAAGATGACGAGGATGGAAAGTATCTCTCTCTTT